GATGTTGTTAAACTTTCTTCTGATTGGTAGCTAAAAAGTATTTTTGTTCACAAGGCTACTGAATTCCAGAAATTTTTTCAAAGAGCGCTTAACAATGCAGCTCCCTGTTAATTTTCTTGCCAAGAACGTGAAACGACCGCTTCAATGCATCTTTCACTGGTCCATCATAACAGAAATTGTGAGCGAAAGTCAAGAATTTCAGGGTGCAAGTAGCTTGTTTTTACCCTTGTAAGTTTGCAAGCTAGTTGTACGGAGTAAATCCAAAGTAACTGTCATTTTGAGGAAGTGATATCTTTACGGGTCATTCTTAAACCTTAGTGACACTTCTTAGCCTACCTATTTAGACTTGTTCCTTTTGCTTTTCTCCAGAACGACAAGATACCCGATGAGCACCGTGAAAATGTTGTCAACCACGTGGTGTATGTACATCAGACTGTCGGCGTGTACAGTAAAACATTCTTGCAGAAGCTGAGGAGAGTTAATTACACCACACCAAAGAATTACCTGGACTTTATCAACACTTACAACAAACTGCTGGAGGAGAAAGACAAGTTTGTCTTGGAACAGGTGAGCTACGTGTCTGCGCAGATGTCTAGCCTGCGAGCAAGCCTTTATTATCAGGGCTGCAAGACGCGAGCTTCTCCGCCCGCGAGAAGATTGGAGAGGAGTCGGCGAGCGTTTTGCCGTGGGTCTGGCACTAATAATGAGGCTAGATCCCTTGCAAACCTCTCCCTGGCTCGCGTTGCTGAAGGTGTTATACTTTTCCGAGGGCAAAGGCAAAGATAATGAAGACTTATTTGCAGGCTCTCGGTTATCATGTTGTGTTCTGGTAGAGTGACTTCGATGGATTCAGTAAACGGAAACTAACGAAACAAACCTTTTCTTCCTTTTCTTTTGCAATAGATTTTATGATATATTCACGCCCTATTAAGTCTAACGATTTGAACTAAGATGATATTAGGGGACGGAAGTCAAATAAACTTGGAAATCTTTTCTCTTCAATGTGGACTGCCTTTCAGGTGTCTACGAATGTCTCAGATGACTTCATATACCCGATCAGATATCAAGTTATGTTTCTAGTAAACAGCTATTGGGTGTTTCTCAAAAGAATATTTTGATCTTTGCTTTAGTGTCATCGTCTTGACGGAGGTCTCAGCAAATTGCTGGCCGCCAGCGAACAGCTGAAAGAGCTGAATGAAAAACTTGAGATACAGAAAGTGGCGGTGACAGAGAAAAGCGAGGCCTGCGAGAAACTGCTCTCTGAGATTCAGCGTGCCACCGAACTAGCAAACGAGAAAAAGGCTATGGCAGTTGGGAAAAGGGAGGAAATAGCCGAACAGAACAAGGAAATAGTTGTTGAGAAAGCCGAGGCAGAGGAAGCTCTTGCCCAGGCTCTGCCCGCGTTAGAAGAAGCTAAACTGGCTTTGCAGGATTTAGACAAATCTGATGTCACTGAGATCAGGTACGTGTTTTGACCTGCAGCACGCAGAGAGGGTTACACGTATCTATTCAGCATTGGTCCATAATAAATACGCTTCCTGTAAGGCTGGAGAGCGGTTCATTAAGTATCATTGTTCGGTTTATCAAACCAAATTCTTGTGTCATTTTTGCTTTTTTCTGAAAGGATAAACAAAGGTACAACGTATGATGCACGATCCTCGCAGTAGAGAGCGCTATTTATGCAATAGCGAAAATCAGACCTGAAAAAAAATCAGGCCTGTACGAGATTCGAACCACTGGCCTCTGCGATACTAGTGTAGCGCTCTACCAATTGAGCTGACAAGCCAACTGGGAGCAGGCCGTTAAGTTGATTCGTAATAAACCCGTGATGATAAATCAGNTTTTTTTCAGGTCTGATTTTCGCTATTGCATAAATAGCGCTCTCTACTGCGAGGATCGTGCATCATACGTATCTATAACCGCAGTTCAAAATATATGAACTTCATATATTCATTGTATCCAAAGGCACAACGATTAAAAAAAAACTATTTCCTCAATATCATATCGCTGTCGCGAGATTATTATCTCGTGTTCTTCGAAAAATAAGAGCGCGTGCTTCTCTATAATCACGTGAGGAATTGTACTCATGATGATTATCAACCCTCCGTTTTCTCTCCACAGGTCTTTCGCCAAACCCCCTCGCGCGGTACAGATGGTGTCAGAGTGTATCGTCGTGATGCGTGGCTACAAGGAGGTATCGTGGAAACAAGCAAAGGGAATGATGTCGGAGGCAAACTTCTTGAAGAGCTTGACAGATATGGATGTGGATGGTATTACAAGCGCTCAGGTAACGTGTAGTGACGAAGTGATTTGTTTTCCGCTGGCGGAGTAAAACGAAACAGGCGAAGGTAAATAGGTCTTTTACAGCCACCGCTAGGGGTCTCGAATATGCCATGTGACATAGCGGGGATATTTTTAAATTGCGTTGCCAATACTGACCCTTTCTGATCAACCACATGTTCAAAAGATTTCGAGTTGTACTATATAGTGGTCAAGTGTTATAGTTACAACATGATTACGAAGGACAATTGCAGGAGAGGCAGATATTATTAGGAGCAAGAGCTTTGATCTGTGATTGGTCCACAAAACTCACGCCATCCTCTTAACCAATGAGATGCAAAAATAAAAACAATCGTGACTTCGACATATACGTTTTCCCGCGCTTTAAGCTGCTCGCTTGTTTTCACTTTGAGTTCTCATTGGCAAATGATGTTGTTAAACTTTCTTCTGATTGGTGGCTGGGATTGCTTCGGTTTAGTTTAGTTTTTTTTTTTTTTTTTAATCACATCGAAAACTGTTCTAAACCCAAGGAAATCCTGTACCACGATCAAAAAGCAAATTCACTATTGGCCCATAGTATGGCACACCCAATTTCCATTAATTTTTATTCTGTCTTCTTTCCTCTTTAACCTGTGGCATTCGTTTAGGTGCGTCGAGCCCGTGATATGTTGAAGGAGATGAACATCACTGTGGAAGAGATGAGAGAAGTCAGCAAAGCAGGAGCTGGATTACTTAAGTTTGTGGTCGCCGTGCTTGGATACTGCTCTGTTGCCAGAGAAATCAAGCCAAAGCGAGAGAAGGTAGGTGTTATCGTGTAACAGTCATACAGTGAGTCTACACTAGAGCATATAAACCGCACTTAGGAATTGTTATCAGTCTGGGCGAGTTGTGACGAACTGTGTATCTTTTTGCATCACAGGTGGCTAGGCTAGAGCGAAATTACCACCTCAGTAAACGTGAATTGGAGAAAATCGAGAAAGAGGTGAAAGCTTTGGACGAGGAACTGAAAAATCTCGGTGATAAGTACGATGCCGCCATGAGGGAGAAGTCAAGTTTACAAGAAGAAGCGGAAATCATGGAAAGGCGCCTGATAGCAGCTGATAAACTCATATCTGGTCTGGGATCAGAGAAAATAAGGTGAATGACCGGAGACTTCTTATTGCCGGAGAGTGAATCCTCTCTCTACTCCTTCGCGAGTGAAATCTAGTCTTGGGCCTTTTTTAACCCCCAACACGCCTAGAAGGTGTCCGTAGGTGATATAAAATCTCAATACTTTGATTGATTTCTTTCTTTCCCCCCCCTTCCCCAGATGGACAGAAGATCTTGAAGAACTAAAGCGTCAACGAGTTCGTCTGTTAGGAGACTGTCTTCTGGCCTCGGCCTTCCTCAGTTATCTTGGAGCCTTCACTTGGGACTTCCGATATGACATGTACCGTGGGGAGTGGGAGAAGGACGTCCTGGACCGGAGCATCCCTGTGAGTCAACCTTTTAGGCTGGACACCTTCCTCACTAATGATGTGGAGATCAGTCGATGGACATCAGAGGGGCTCCCTCCGGATGAACTGTCCATTGACAATGGTATCTTGACCACCCAGGCCAGCCGATATCCACTGTGTATTGATCCTCAGCAGCAGGCACTGAACTGGATCAAGAAGAAAGAAGAGAAGAACAATTTAAAGGTGAGATGTACGTTTGTGTCATTCAGGAGCTCGGTAGGTTCTCTTGTCTTGAGAAGTTTGACTCTTGTTTTCTTAGTGTTTAGGTTACTTTATCTTCAAAAGTCTCTATCAACCCTTCTACTCCAGAGATCTGATAGTCAATTCTCCTAACCAAGGAACCATACGTCTCTCAGTTGGCTATTCCTGAGAATTTAGTGTTTCAACGCAGAAGACAAATTTCCAAATTAATGATGCTCTGAATTCTTATTATCTGTCTGCTGGGTTGTGTTTTTAAAGTTGTAACAATAATTTGTGATTTGATACATCGTAGAATCGTAGAAGTGAAAGCCATCACTTATTTGATCGTCATTTCTTGTTTTCTCTGGTAGGTTGTTACTTTCAATGATCCAGATTTTCTGAAGCAGCTCGAGTTCGCCATCAAATATGGCTTCCCTATTTTGTTCAAGGACGTTGATGAGTACATAGATCCTGTGATCGATAACGTATTGGACAAGAATATTAAAGGTAACGGGACTAGGACAACAAAATGCCCTCTTTTTGTACTGCCATTAGTCTTTAAGGATGCTTTTATATGTATGTAGGTTGTGTATACAGTGTCCCTCTCTTTAAAACAAGCTTCGTAAAGAGAGGAGAAAACAAATTCCTCACGAATGGAACGACAGGGTACATTTTTGTACAGTGATTAGTTGTCATGTGCTCGCAAAATTGGTTTGCTGGGCAACATCCTATCAGTTGCGTCCTGGTTGTTATTTTTAAGAGGTGCATGTGATCTTAGCAATTTATCTCTGTTTAGAGCCGTTTTCAATTGACTGTCGATGAACCAAAACCCTAGTACTTACAACGGACAAGTATAACAAAGGTCGAATTCATCGTTAGCCACTGAGGACTCAGAGTGAAAAAAAAAACTTTCCAAAGGACAGAAAAACTCGGGTGACCAAGTCACAATTGGTATTCGTTTTGCGCCTGATTGGCCTAGAGGATGCGTTTTCTAAACCAATCACGAGCTAACTAAAGCAGTAACAAATTGATCCCTCATTACATCGACACTCCATTGAAAATTTTTCTTTGTACTGTGACAATTTTGTGGTCTTTTTTCCTTCAGGCGAGCCTGGCCGCGAATTCGTTATATTGGGAGACAAAGAAGTGGATTATGACCCAAGTTTCCGTCTTTACCTGAACACAAAGCTGTCCAACCCCAAATACACGCCGACGCACTTCAGTCGCTGCATGGTAGTGAACTACACAGTGACTATGAAGGGACTGGAAGATCAGCTGTTGAGTGTTATTGTAGGATTCGAGAGGAAAGAGCTTGAGGAACAGAGAGAAAGACTTATTCAGGAAACCAGGTGAGGAATATTCTTAATGACTTTGCTACTCCAGTGGAAAATTCCGGGCGAAATTTCATTCATGGTTTGCGGAATTTTACCTTTAACAGCAGGTTATGTCTCCTGACAGTTTCAGCACTGAATCAAACGTCAAGGCCATGAGAATAAAGGAAATTGACATTGAAGTAAAAACAAATGTTTCCCCTTTTTCTTCCGATCGATGTCTCAATTTACCATGGTTCCGCACAAGAAGCTTTTGACGTTACTAATCCTTGCAAAATGCAGTTTCCTAGTCAATTACGAAACTAATTTATGGCCCAACCCAACAAATGGCTTAGATTCTCTTGTAATCTTTACGAGGACCTCAAATGTTTCTGAAGCCCTTACGTAAAAGTAGATGATGTCTTTGTCCAGACCAAGGCGGTTTTGCTCCATTGCACTATGATAAACAGATAAGTGATGGATGAGCCTATCGATCTCTTGTGTTAAAAAGAGTCTTAACCCTTAAAATATCATAAGTGGCCAGGACAGAATTTCTCCTTACAATTTCAAAAGAATATTAAGCAGACAAGTGATGAGAATGAAGGAAAATATCAACTAGGGGATTATTAGCTGATCTAATCCCAAATTCTCAGAACTGACATCATAAGGACTCTATGATAGACGGTAAGGAGAATTACTTATGAGATCTTGGGAGTTAAATGGTGATGTAACACTTTTTTTTTAGTGACAACAAGCGTCTGTTGAAAGATCTTGAAGACACGCTTCTTCGTGAACTGGCTACGTCTCAGGGTAACATGTTGGATAATGTTGAACTTGTTCAAACTCTGGAAGACACCAAGTCGAAGGCCGTTGAGGTAAAAACTCCTTTGATTTCTTTCGATAAATTGTTATCAGAGCTACTCGCAGTGCTAGCGGTGAAAGGACTTCTCACTGTTTTACGTCCCCTTCTTTGAGCGGGTCTTTATGTTGTTCGTCTTTGGTCTCTATCACCCACAAACGTCTTATCGAGCCTTTCTGTTCTCTTCAGGTCGGTGAGAAGCTGAAGCTTGGCGCCAAGACAGCTATCGACATTGACAAGCTCCGCGATGGTTACAGGCCAGCAGCAAAGCTAGGTGCTGTTCTTTTCTTCGTGTTATCAGAGATGTCAGCGGTGAATTCCATGTACCAATACTCCTTGGCATCTTACTTGCAAGTGTTTGACTTGTCTTTGAGGAAGAGCTTACCAGATTCCATTCTGCCCAAACGACTCAAGAACATTATGGACACCCTGACTATGAATGTCTACAATTATGCCTGTACTGGTAAGGGTATACTTCATGACAACCGATATGATACACTTAACCCTTTATAATTAACTCCCAGAGATGATTAACATGTAACTTCTCCCTATAATATCCACACATTATCAAGCAAACAGGTGAAGAGAATTCTCAAACTTATCAGCAAGAAATTGTTAACTTGATCTAACACAAAATTCGCGTAACTAATTTACAAGGAAATGTGTAGCAGCCAGAGGGAAGAATTCTCTAAGATCTTGGGAGAAACAATAATTCCTGTGCTGTGCTGATGGTGTGGATGAAAGAAATCCTGAAAAAAAACTGTTGTAAATGACAGTCACCGACGTTTCGACAACTTCAACTGAAGTTATCCGAATCAATTGAAAAGCTGTTTGTCGGTCGAATGTTAGAAGTTTGATCCACGAAAACTGATCGGTCAATTTTTTTTTTTCCGAACACTGTTGGCTCGAAGACTGAGTAGCGTTCTTCAGTTGAGATTGGAAGTGTATTTGTTGTTCATCTTTTACGCTTACAGCAAGGCAGTGCAATATAATCAAATTCTTTACCATGGCATTTTGTTGTTCACCCTTTGAACCCCCAATATCTCATTAGTAATTCTCCCCACGGTCTGCTACACATTTCACATGATGATGGCTCGGAGAATTTGGTTGTGAATCAACCAATAATCCTTTAATCGATATATTTCGTTTTTCTCATCACTTGTCTGCTCGGTATTATGTTGATATCGTCAATAGAAATTATCTCTTGGTCACTCATGGGGGTTTAAGGCTTAAATAATCCTTTTTATAGGAAAAGTAAAAGGGATCGTTTTGTATTTAATAACAATGTTTATCACCCGTTTCTGTATGATATAATTTCTAGGTCTGTTTGAACGCCACAAGTTGCTCTTTTCATTCCAAATGACCATCATAATCATGGAGGCAGACGGAAAGCTTAACCCCGAGGAGCTGGATTTCTTCCTCAAAGGCAACATCTCTCTCGAAAAGAGTTCTCGCTCCAAACCCTTTCCTTGGCTGCCAGATCAAGGTTGGGAAGACATACAGAGACTCATGACTGTGACTCCAGACGCTTTCAGTTCACTGGCGGATGACATAGAGAGAAACGGAAAAGACTGGAAAGAGGTATGACGGTCTAATTACTATCTAAACGTAAGGAAAAGGCTCTGGCTTGCATGTTTTTCACGCTCACTTTCAACATTTTTGAGCTTGACTGACCCGAACCTTTAAAACTTGCCTAGATTACACTGGCCATAGTCTGGGTACCACAAAATTGTCAACTCTACTGACAACACATATACATGAAAACTTTATTTCAAGGTTTGATAATACCTCCATTTCATTTCTCATTAGTGGTGTGACCACGATGCGCCAGAATCCGCCCCCTTCCCTGGTCGTTTCGAAGAAAAACTGTCAGACTTCCAACGTCTTCTTCTCTTGCGCTGTTTCCGTGTGGATCGAGTTTATCTGGCCATCACCAACTTCGTGACCGGCAGAATGAGCGAGAAGTACGTGACGCCGCCTGTGATCAGTTTCGAGGCGATATTCGAGCAGTCCAACCCGTTCTCGCCAATAATCTTCATTCTCAGCCCCGGCTCGGACCCTGCCAGTGATTTGATGAAGCTGGCTGAGAGATCAGGCTTTGGTGGAAATAAGTTGAAATTTCTCGCTATGGGTCAGGGACAGGAAAAGGTAACATTACTATGGTTCGTCGGATCTAACTCAGTATCTAAGTAACTGCGCACCTACCCCTTTCTAACCCAACAACAGTTAATAAAAAACTAGGGTTAATGTTGGGTTAGAGTTGGGTTGGGGTTGGGGTTGGGCTAGTGTTGGGTTAATGTTGGGTTAATGTTAGGTTAGTGTTGGACTAGTGTTGGGTTAGTGTTGGGTTCTAAATTGAGAATTAAATTGTTTCCAGTGTCACAGCCTCAAAAAAGAAATTTTAATCTAATCTTCCTCTTGTATTGCTGCTCAGTACCGGTAAACTTGCAAAAAGCCTTTTTAAACAAGCGAGAAATGCTATTTTCTGTCCGGATAACTTCATCTACAAGAACAAGAAAACTCACAGGCGGTCAAAACATAAAAATTTGCCTCTTAGTTATTATTAGGCAGTAAGTCACATCATCATCGATTGCAAAAGAGCTAGAAATCTTTTTTTTTTCGATTTCGTTTTGTTCAATCTGATTTCGAATGGTTCTGTTCTATTTCGGATTCAAGTATTGTATGAACTGCTAAATCACATCAATATTCTCTCCTCCTAAGAAATTCCAATCCTAGCGCAGCTCACTTGCATATCTCGTTTGATGTTTGAATTTGCAGTTAGCACTGCAGCTGCTTGAAACAGCGATCGCTCGCGGTCAGTGGCTGATGCTTCAAAACTGTCATTTACTGGTGAAGTGGTTGAGGGAACTTGAAAAAGTCCTGGAACGGATCAGTAAACCGCACCCTGATTTTAGGCTCTGGCTCACCACGGACCCTACCCCGGAGTTCCCTATCGGGATCATACAGAGGTCCCTCAAGGTAAGGTAGTGCGTATTTTCAGGAAATCTCCACCAAATGTTTTGTAAAGGAGGCGCCGTCCAGTAAGCCAAGGCTAGTCTGCGAGTATACTAGCGCTGCGACACGAGAGTAGCTTAACCCGCGAGAGACTGAGTCCGAGTCTTTGAGTGAAGCAAGAGTTCTGATGAGGAGAGACGCAATACTTCTATAGATACTTAGTTTTTTTTTTTTTCAGAAACGGGATAAGCCCTAGCGGCGTGAGCCTCTTGTTTCGCGTGAAACACACTTGCCTTTTATAACTTTTTGAGCCATGCTGACATTTATTTCTCAACATTTAAGGCTGACCTTCATGAAATGATTCTTTTCAGGTTGTTACTGAGCCGCCGAACGGTCTAAAGCTGAACCTTCGTAGTACCTATCACAAGATAACCAATCAGGCGCTTGCTGACTGTCCTCACCAGTCCTTCCCGCCGCTTGTGTATGTCGTAAATATGTACTTACTGATTGAGTGGGAGGGGTGGATGGCGAAATATTTGTTATCGAGGCCATTGCGCACGGCCCTCATACGGGATTTTCTGTTTGTATAGTTTTCAATAAAAGATCGCGCGCGGGGTCGCAAGGGTTCATATGATGGTATACTTTTCTCTTTATTATTCACAAATCGACTATACTATTATCGAGGAGGTTCTAATGATTACTATCATGCTAGAAAAGCCAAGTTATGAAAGTATGTATACCAAGTTATATAAGTATGTATACCTTACCTTACCTTACCTGTCATTCCTTGGCCGGCTCAATTGGGCAGAATAATTTGGTAACCATTAACCGTTTAACTCCCATGAGTGCAACCGAGACAGAAATTCTCCTTACAATATCAATACAATATCAATACAATATCAAGTAGACAAGTGATGAGAATAAAGAAAAATATCAATTAGGGTACTAGTAGTTGATCCAATACCATAATCTCCAAACTATTATCATAAGAATTGTATGGCAGACAGAAAGGAGAATTACTGATGAGACATTGGTAGTGAAAGGGTTAAGTAGGTAAGAAAGTACGTTTTCGGACCTTTAGATTGCTGTGGTTTCCGTAGATTTTTGGTTGTAAAAAGGAATCTGTTTTTTGTTTGCTGATCAGGTATGTGCTGGCATTCTTCCACGCCGTGGTACAGGAAAGACGAAAGTACGGGAAAATTGGCTGGAATATTGCTTACGATTTCAACGAGTCAGACTTCCGCGTGTGTATGACTTTACTGAACACCTATCTGACGAAATCACTGGAGAATCCTGACAAGAGAATACCTTGGGCCAGTTTGAAGTATCTCATTGGCGAGGTGAGCCATAATTGACAAAATGCATTGTGGAAAAACATGTGTTTTGTACAGTAAAAAAATTACCGTCTTTCGTCTACCATTTACTCGCACGAACCCTCCTACATTGTTTATCTTGGCAGTTTGCTGGACGCGCGGCATACAAGAACCTTGTAATGACCTAACTCGCGGCAGGGTTGTCTGTTCCTCAGTGATAGTTTCGTGGAGCATCAGAGCGCAGAATCCGTAGGTCTGCGGTTTGATTTCTTATGAGAACTCAGAATTTTTTCTCTGTCCCACGCTCGTGACAAGGCAAAATAGAACTTGATTTTATCACCAAGCTTAAAACTTACCATCTTTCTTCTCCTAATAAAATGGATTTGATGAAATAAGAATCGAATTTGTGGTGATATCCTTTTTTTGCTCGGTAGGTCATGTATGGTGGGCGGGTCATCGATGATTTTGATCGTCGCGTTGTGAAAACTTACATGGACGAGTACATGGGCGACTTTATATTCGACACCTTTCAGCCATTCCACTTCTATATGGGTGAAGAGGTGGACTACTTCATTCCCAAACCTGAAAAAGGTGGGTATCAATCTCTCTTCATTTCTTTAACTCATCCCTTTTACTGGTAACCTGTCCTCTCTTTGGAATTATTCCGTGAGTCCAACACCCTGCCTGTATTTGTCGGTTTGGAAACTCTTTTGCTAACTTTTTACCATATTGGCGGTTAAATAGGCTGCGTTGTAGTCAAGTTGTAATACAGGCTGACTGGATGCTAAATAGTGAAACAGATTTCTCTAATCTTTCTTATCACAAGGGTGACTTCAGTGAGATTAGCTACATATAACATGGGGCCAATTTGCAAATTCAAAAGGATGTCCTTTTATGATATCTCTCATTTTGTAGGTGCGCTATGATTGGTCAATTTAGCGAGCCGTATTTCACTGTACAGACCGCTGAGTTCAAAAGTTTGTTTGAATTGAAATTTCCCCCATCTACTTAAACTCAGATATATAATAAATGCCGTACTTATCTCTTTTTCTCGGTCCGTGCTTTGATTTAAGGAACTTCGTTTGTGCCTATCAGATTTATGACCCACAAGCTTCATGCTTGGGCCATGAATCCGAGCGGAAAAAACTCGGTCTTTAACTTACAGTACCTTACCTTGAACCCGGTTAATAAGATGTATTTCTTTAACTTTTAAACGCGTAACACAGAATAAGGCATCAAAGCTTTTCGTTATTTTAGATGCTTCGGAATGTAACCGAGACTTATACGTGGACACCATTGAAGATCTGAGCCTGTCTAACACCCCAGACGTGTTCGGTCTGCACCCCAATGCGGAGATTGGTTACTATACTCACTCGGCTAAGGACATGTGGAACCACTTGGTGGAACTGCAGCCTCAGACCGGAGGAGAGTCTGGAGGCATCAGCCGGGAGGAGTTTATTGGCAAGATCGCCACAGATATTCAGGGCAAGCTACCTCCTCTCTATGATGTAGATCGGATCAGGAAGAACATCATTGAGATCACGCCGACTTATGTCGTGTTACTGCAAGAGCTGGATCGGTTTAATGTCTTGATCAGGAAGATGTCAACTTCGCTTATTAACCTTCAAAGGGTGAGTAACTGTAGCTGTTTTCCTGTGGACCCTCAAAAAGTTTAGTGAACCTTCGTTAAAACGGCGTTATTCTAGATACTTAACTTTCTCAAATTTAAATGTCAGTTGGTGCAAAGCAATCAGGAATCACAGGCTTTGTTAGTTATTTTCCGATTTTGGACGCTGTTGTTCGGTTTTGGACGCAAGTGTCTGAATGCCGACACTGTGGTCCAATTCTAGACACAAATGTCCAGGATTAGACACGAGTATTTTATTTTAGACGCTACTGATGTTCGATTCTAGACACTACTGTTTGATTTTGGACACTTTCGCTCGACACAAGACACCATTGTCATTAGAGTCCGATATAATAAACTAGTGTCCAATTTTAGACACCAGTGTCCGAGTCTATACACTTGTGTCATATTTTGGACAAACGTGATACAGTCTTGACACGTGTCTGATTTTAACACAAGTGTCCGGTTAAAGACAATTGTGTTTGATTTTAGACACTAGTGTCCGATTTAAACATTAGTGTCCGATTTTTAGAGTCTAGTGTCGGATTGTAAACACTTGTGTCCAATTTTAGACATCAGTGTCTGATTTTAGACGTTAAATGGACGAAATGAACTCCTAATGCTCTTGGTACCTGTTGCAATTATCTTTGGCTTAAATGTGTACTAACTATTGTTTTCATACCCTTCTAATCAGCTGTGCGTTTGATTAAAACATAATTATTCTCTATTCCAGGCTCTTGCGGGCGAAGTAGGAATGAGCAGTGAACTGGACGAGGTCGCACGTGCTCTCTTCAATGGTCAACTTCCTAGTATTTGGCGCAAACTTGCTCCAGCCACACTTAAATCGCTTGGCAACTGGATGGAGCATTTCCTCAAACGCCTGAACCAGTACAATAAATGGGTTAGTGGCCTTCTGACTCCTTTAATCATCAATTTTTCGATGTGACATTAGAGTGTAAGCCATTCAGTATGGACGGGGTCGTACAAGGTCTTAAAAAAGTTTCTAGTGGGGTGTCAATGTATTTGACTACATTTATCTTCTATGAGGAGAGTGCAGTTAATCTCAACAAATCAAATCATAGTCTTAAAAAGTTCGCGTGTTTCTTTGAATGTGTTCTAGTCGGTTTTTGTTTTTGATTTTGTTTGTTTTTGTTTTTGTATATTTTGTATGCGCACTCCTTGCCTGAAAAAGTGCTTTGTGTCACATTTAAGTGTCGAAAATGTTTGTTGACCATCTAACCTACGGGAGATCTTTTGGGCCATCTGAAGGATGGTGTTTGTACATCAAATCAGTTTTGTTACAAGCTCACACGTTTGTTTAATGTTTTTATTATTATCATTATTATTTGTTTTTCTTTCCTACTGTCTCAGATACTGTTTTCTTTTGTGATCATTCATTTGTATGTAATTTGTACATAAAGGGAGGACTAACTTACTAAGAAAACAAACTCCCATGTTTATGTAGGAATCAGCAAAAGTAACGTGGGGTTTTTTTAAATTAAACATAACCGTAGCTTGCCTTAATGCAGGAAAGCTTTTCTGATAATTGTTGTGACGAATTCTCATTTTCTCTCGTCATAGGTGAATGAAGGTGAGCCCGCAGTGATCTGGTTATCCGGGCTACACATCCCGGAGTCTTATTTGACAGCCCTTGTGCAAGCCACCTGTCGCAAGAACGGCTGGCCCCTGGATCGGTCCACACTGTACACCACAGTTACTAAATACAGGACTGGAGAGGAGGTCTCTGAGAGGGCACATTCTGGCTGTTTTGTGAGTGGACTATACCTGGAAGGTGCCTCTTGGGACCTAGAGGCAGGGTGCTTAAGGCGACCCAAGCCGAAAGTGCTTGTTGAGGAGCTGCCTGTCTTGAAAGTGATCCCAATTGAGGGACACAGGCTCAAATTACAGGTAGATATAAAGGTTTTCCTGTGCGTAGTTGTCTTTGAACTGGTAACTAAATGTTCATCCTCCTTTAAAGGGTTTGTGTGTGTGTGTGTGTGTTTTTTTTTTTAGCGGTGTAAGCTAAAGCGGTGACCTGAGAAATGACTAAACTTCGCTACTCAGACGACACTCGCGCGCGCTTTTATCGAAAAACCAATCTGCATATGAGGGCCATACGCGATGGTACGAGCTGGGCCGTGAAAAGTCCTACGTCAACGACCCAGCGTATAGCCCTGCAGAGAAATGGTAAAACAAAGGAAGAAGGAGAAAGAGCAGTGGTCACATATTGAAATGTTTTTTGGCTAATTTGGGTTTGGATAGACGGAAAAATATTTGGCTCTCGGTTACCGTTTTGACGTGTTCAGCCACTCAGTCCACAAGTACATATTTCTTTCAAAGTTTATTGTTTGATTTAGTTGATCCTTCATTCAAGGGGGACCCTTGTGAGTGCGAGTGTGTTTCCTGATCAGAGGTGCTCCAGTGTCAATTGCAGATAAACAAATTAAGGACGTACAGCTTCAATTGGGACCAAACGCTGTGTCTCTAGAATAGAGATGTTCCCTGAAGAGCGGTTTCCCATTTTAATTGTTGTGCCATTCTGAGTCTGTAGTTTTCTGCTAAAGGGCGAGGGTTTTTAAAAATGTTTTTTCCCCTCAATTTTTTCCTTATACTTCACGTTGAGTAATTAACACAAGTATAAGCTTACAATATCTTACAACTTCTTTTTTTTTTTTTTCTGTAGAACACGTATCGTTCACCTGTCTACACGACATCTCAGCGCCGTAACGCCATGGGAGTAGGATTGGTGTTTGAAGCTGACCTGGCCACTCATGAACACATATCTCATTGGGTGTTGCAGGGTGTTTGCCTTACACTCAACTCCGATTGAAAAGCTCCTCGTGTTGAACTGAGAAATACCGCCCTGTGTCTTAAATTTGTTTTCGTGTGTTCTCCTGTGTGGTTTGATTCCAGGGTGGCGAAATGTGGTTTATGTTGCGTTGTAGTTTTAAAGAGCTAACGTCACTAAGCCCAATATAAGCCTAAGCGATTTAGTGTTAATTAATGTACTTTTGTAAATAGTAGAACATTCCACCCGACCATACCTTTTATTCGCTCTCAAACGTTACTCGCGATGTCATTCTCCAGGTTGGAGTTTTTCTTGCGTGAAAAAAGAAATAAAAAAAAACTGAAATTAAATTTGATAGACGTGTATGAAGAGTGTATTTTGGGACGTTTTGCATAATAAATAAACTTCATTTTGCCTTTGAAAAAGGCTTTCACATTTGTTTTCCTGTGTTGTCTTTTGACATGCAGTATGTAGAATATTTCCCCGCGCAAGTTCATGCCTGAAATGGGGAGAATGTGTTCTAGTTTATGGTAATTACTACATGAAATAACCTTCTCTTTTGCCTCACAGCCACACTTCAATTCGAGAATTTTTAGGGCATAAAGTAACTTACGGAGCGAGGCAGTTTGTCCCGTTTCAAAGCGACTTCGCAACGCATTTGATGGCGGCTAACCGCTGCTTGTTAGAGACAGGGATGAGCCTAATGGAAGCCTGAATATTTTTGGTCCTACTATCTTTATTTTCTTTATAATAGTTAACTTCTGGGTATAAATTCGCTCGTGACAATTGCCGCCAACCCGTTTTCCCCTTACTGCCCATGTTCCAGCCGTTTTTCCGCTTTTTAAAATCGATTCCAGAAAGTTATTTGGAACATTGGTGAAATGGTATCCAGGCTTTTTATCCAATTGTAGGTTGAGAAAAAATTCCAATTCTGTGATGGATCAATATCCTCTCCCCCTACATTTTTGTGCTTTCTTGAAATAGTCACAAAAGAAGCAGTGTTCAATCATTTGTCACTGTGTCTTCATCAATTTTACCATGGCAACATTACAGCTACATTTCTGCAATTTGTGCTGATAAATCCAACTAGGAAGTCGATATTCATCTTTCCTAAAAATTTACAGGAGAATCTCATGGTAAGGCTCAGCGCCACCTCAAATGTTGAAACAAATAAATGTGTGAGCCAGACGGTGAAAGGGATATGCTCATTTTTCACTTTAAATTTTCGAAGATGATATATTTAACATAGAGCGGGTTTGAACTGAGTATCCTCATGGCAAAGTCTTTGCTCCAAAAAATATCCTCCAGCGGTCAATTCTAGCCATCGAACACGAAGCATTAGGCGCGGGAAAAGACTAGAATCTAATTGGTGGATTAAGTACCTTGAAGAGTGTCCTGTTAGTGTGAGTTTGAAATAAAATCGCTCAGTTATTTGCATTTCAAAAGAAGAAATATGTGGTTCCCGCTGGACACTCAAAAATATTCGTTTGAATAAATTACAGCAAAATTAACATTCAAATATTCATTTTCTATCGACAACTAACTAATATGGCGGCCGAGTTCAAACCGCTCGGGCGGTTTTAGTGATTTTTCTTCTGCGAAGACTGCTCCCAAGTCAGGCTTGTCGACCTTGAAAGGAAAAGCTAATTTTGGACACAAGATTTGCACAAGAAAAAGTGGACTTGGGGTTTAAAAGAAGTTAATCTTGGAACGATGAGCACCAAGACGTGGGCTCGGGAAAGTCAAAGTTATGTTCATTTGGAAATACAGTGGAGGCTTGAAAGGTAACTAATATGAATGTATAAACGAAGCTTTTTTTTAATGGCCAGTGCCTCTTAAAACTGACTGATATTTTTCGTTGGTGGAAGTAACTTTAACTTTGATAAGGAGGACATGATAATTCATCGGTGGTTTTGAGGAGCGGAGATCACAGAGCGTTTGGAGGCCATTTCATTTGGCTTTTTTGAGTAGGGAGGTGTAGTAGTTGTTTTATAACTACATCATCGATTGATTGAGTTCCTTTTTTTGCCATATGGTATGTCCTTTATGACCAAGCTTGTTCGCCCCGCCCCCCTCCACCCGGTCAAAATGACTTTATAGTGGCCAAGTCTTTTTCGTCTCAGTCCGTAAAATCGCCACTGAAAAAAAATAACTTAGGCAATATTTAGACCAGTGTTTGATCTCACGCAAGAGCATTTGAAACAGTGTGATTGCAGTCGCCGTTAGTTTCTTTGTATACTTAAATGTTGTCAGAGGTACATTTTTCTGTTAGTTTCATTCCTACATCAAGGGCAATCCAGGAAAGCTTAACGCGTTTTTAATATTTTCCCATTCAGCTTTTTTTTGTTTGAACCTTTTCAGTAATCGTTTAACCTAGTGAACGAAATTTATGTTAAGCTCAAGAAAAGCAACAAGAACAACAAAAAATGTATGCGCAGTGATTCAAATGATCGAATCTTCCCAATAATGTGGGGCGTTAGTTATCGCCCGAATGTTCGTCTTTTCCGAAGCGTTTTCGAAATTTGTTAGTTTTTTTTTTCTCCTCAAACTCTATCGTACATGCCTTATTGAGTTTAATCAATTGTTGCTAAGCAACAGGAGGACGAAAACGTAGAGGGGGCTAGTCCCCTCTCGGAAATACCAAAATTCATCGACAATTAAAGGAATATCATGAAGTCATTTTTTTGCTACAAACTTATTAAAATTGTCTTCTTGCTTTCATACCAAAAGGATAACATTATCTTGGCCAGCTCTGTTAAATCTTCAGCTGACAACTCAAAAATATTCAATTCCTAGTTCGTCTTGGAGGGATGTTAACGAGCTAAAAGGTTTGAACCGGTGTAGCCAGAAATACATCATAAATTTTTAGGTGGCTCACCATGGTATTTTCAATTTCAAAACCAATTATTTAACCTTTGTCTCACAAGAGTTATCAACATCTAATTTCTCCTCACATTATCACCTCTGAATCAAAAATTAAGGTCATGAGAATTGAGGAAATGATCGTCAACCAAAGCAGCTCTTGATTGTTAAATTTTCCTTGTCAGCAGCTTTAAAGGAGCACTCTTATGAAACTTCCCTGTAATTTGGGAACCCGAAAAATCCAAATATTTTTACATAAAAACAAAAAATGTTCTTAAAATGTTCGTGAACTTAAAATATTCACTGGTTAATCGTATCTGAATGTTTTTTTCCGAATCGTCACACGGGAAGATCGTCAAATTCGCGATTTTCTTTTGACCCGCCATTAGTTTACGAAATGAATTGCCAGACTCAAGAAGACTGGGGCGAGTTTTGAGCATGACGTAGATTACTCATTTGACGCGCCGTGCTCGTGGCTAATTTTCAAAAACAGTATTTTGATCGTATATATTGCTTTTATATCACTAAGACTAAGACTATTTCACTAAATTTAACGAGGTTTCCTTATAAATATAAAATGATACCAACAGTGTTTTGAGTAATCTACGTCACAATGGGAGTGACCGAAGATAAGTTGGCCGTGATTACAAAAATTAATGGCGGGACGGTTTTCAAATCGTAATTTGTCGCCCTAGAATTGACTTTCAACTAAAATTATTATTGAAAAGACTTTATTAATCGCTAAAAATTCATATTAATGAAATAACTGAGTTTTTCGGGTTTTCAAATTATTGGGAGATTTCATAAGAGCGCTCCTTTAAGAAATGTATAGAGAACAGTGAGTAGAATATGCAGACTGGTGTTAAAGTGTAAAGGTGGAAAGTATCCCTCGAGAATAGTTTAAATAGGCCATCTAAGTAAATCTTTACATACATACATACATACGTACGTACGTACGTACGTTAGTTGACTACTCCCCATGGGGGCTTTTCAGGGCCAATTCCCACCCATCCCACCTCAGGGGAGGACATCCACTACACAGTAATCTCGCGCGCGGGAAATTAACGTCTCCTACCCCTAACCCTGCAGGAGACGGGGCCTATGGTTTATTCGTCCTTATCCGAGAAGACTAGAATATCTATCCATTTCTTGATTATAGAAAGGTAGCAAATTCTCCTCACTTATTTTAAGACCATGATTATCAGTCCGGCCGGGGCTCGAACCCTCGACCTCTCGCGCAACAAAATCCGGCGCTCTAACCAAATGAGCTGACCGGATGTGTTTTGATTATTTTAATGACATGTTGGTTTAACATGGCAACATCAAGGCCCTTTAGAAACACCCTGAATTTTAGTTTTATGTGCTTGTACCAAAAAGGGTATGGTGTCCCTTATTTTCATCTAAGAATTGCACGTAGCGCATCAATATTTATGATCTGAGAACTTTTGTGCATACGGTTCAGAGCCACCTTATATTATCAAAAAAAGTATTAACAATAATTTTTAAGGAAACGGACGATTCACCGAAGAAGTGGTCTTTCAAATTACTTAAAACTATTCTGAACCACCTGGGATTGACAGTGAAGTGTTTTCTTCATACCGTGGAATTACTAAGAGTTTTTTCCGCACGGGGAAAACAATTGGAGTCATTTGGTTGTTTGAAAAGGTTCAGTCGTCGGGTTTAAAGATTATGTATCGTCAGTACTCATTATAAAACATATAAGCTGGTTTCCGTATAGTTTCATGGCAATCTACACGGTGCTGACTTCACTGATTGCAAAAAGAGTTTTTGAAATTTCAATTCATCGACACCTCGCAAGCTTGTAAAACAAAATTTCCATTTTCATTTACTTTTGCGTGAGAATGTTGGGTCTTTCGCATACGTTAAGATTCATTTTAAAAAAGCGCAAAGCTACCATGACACGTACCAGTGCAGTTATATCAGATTTTCGTGGAAAGTTGGGCTAAGATATGTAGCTGCATGTATCAAACTTACGAAATGAGGTATTTGGATTTGTCTCATGGTGTAAAAAAAAATAAGAATAAAAACAAGCAAGTAAGGAAACAACGGTATCTCTAATTATGATAACATTGTGTAAGAATTCTTTTTCGGCTTGTGCATTTGTTGTTATGCAAAGAAATTTCCACAACCTAAAAGTAGAATATTATTCATTCTGACTGGGATACAGCAGTATGCATGTCAGTGTACAGGTTATATTTTTTTATCTTCTAAAACTATCAACCTATTGTTGGGGGTTTATAGACATGTCTAGTAAATGCGCTACAATGCATAGCTTATATGGACTTAAAGGAAATTAAGGAAATTAAAGTAGAGTTGAAGTTTACGAATTGCACTTTGTCAATATGATAAAATTCGGGCTTTATCATGTCGGAATTCCTTTGCTAGATCATTTGAATGTTACCCTATTTTGTGTGATACATAAGCTGATTGTCTTTTTGTTTTATTTTTTTGCAGATTGCTGATTAAAAGAAGTGAGCCGAATCTTTTGCAAACACCTTCGCTTGATGATCTTTTAAGTCAAAAGAAAAGCTTAAAGCAGAGGTAGAATAT